GAAAATAATCACTTATAAAAGAATAGTGACTTTCTAGAGACACTCAATTAGTGTACAGAAATACAATCATATCCTCACAAGATGGCCTCCTTTTCCAAATACAGGAAATAGAATGCTATACTCTTAGACAAAAAGTATATTTCAAATATGCTTATAGGTTTCTTCTTTTATTTATTATGAAAGTCAAATGAAAATATCCTTACAAAATTTTCCAGAAGATGACTGTAAACAGGGACTTTAAAAGCAAACTTTTAAGAAGAGCAATTATGTTTCCTTTCAACATAATTGCTTAATATAATTCATTTACTGAATACCTACTATGTACAAAGTACTGCGCCAAGGCTGTGTGGTGGGGGGAAACACGTAACTAGATGCCTGAATTGTAAAGCTAAGAACTCAAAGCATGCTCATGAACACATTTCAGAGACACGCTGAAAGCAGTATTTTCCCTGAAATCTACTCTAAACCAAATAAAATGTTCTCCAAATTCTGTAATAAGCTGAATAAAACTGTATACTTCCTCACATGGCCATCCCAGAAATTTGTTAGGGGCTTCACTTACAATTAGACACAATAAGGATTATAGCAGAGCTGAGGCAAACCTGGAACTAATATAATATTCTCTGGGGCCTTTTTTTTTTCTTTATAATGTATATTATGACATTTAACATGTTAAACCTTCATGTTAGATTAGAGGAAATATTCAATGAATTAAACATATCTATTGACAATTTGCATGGCCTAAGAGGTCAGTATACAATGGTTTTAGGAAAGGTGACTTAAAAATTCTCTGAAATAGCTAATTCTTTTTCCAACTTATTCCCTAATAAGTGTAGATATCCAAACATGTTATCTAAAGTCAAAGTTTTAGGTGTTTTCTCAAGTTTTTTAGGCTTTCAGTGATTCTGGGTGATTTAGAGTAATTTATGTCTTTTCTTTTCCTATCACATTAAATCATTAACACATTTCTTCAGATAATACTTAAAGGCTTTACTATAACATGCACGGTATTTTAGATAAGATCATTTTATATAATAGGATCTTTCTAATATTTCAGTTATCAAAATTTCTTTTTACTAATCATAGCTATTTTATCACATACTGGGGTCTACAGTGAATTGTACAATAACTCCTAAATGCACTATATTTTCTCTACACTCTTACGGTAGAAAACAGAAACAAATTTTCCAATAGTATAATATACAATATGAGAATAACATTTTTAGAACAATCCTGAAAACCTTAAATCAAATAGATTATTTTGATATTTCTTTAACAATATGACCATGGTAAATAAACTTTGATATTAAATTTCAAATGATTAATTATTACATTGTGTATCACATTTATCTGAGGGGATCATGGTCTAGTACTTGGCGCGTATGACTGATGATCAACCTATCTGCACTAAATGAGATACACCATGCTTTGTGTGACTTGATTTTCTTATCTAAAATAAGGATAAGCATTTTAAAAAAATTAGTTGTAGATGGACACAATATCTTTATTTTATTTATTTTTATGTGGTACTGAGTATGGAACTCAGTGCCTCTTATGTGTGAGGCAAGCAATCTGCCACTGAGACACAATCCCAGCCCAGGGATAAGCATTTTGATCTACCTCAGAATACATTATTTTTTAAAACCGAATGAGACAAAATTATTTACAGACAGTTAAGAAATACAGGCAAATTAATTGCCTGTTGTAATGAATATCCTAATGCACAAAACTTTTTCAAATGTCAATTCTAACCTACTTCTGTCTATGGGAGTTAGTTTACAATTGTTTACCTTAATTTTTTTGAGTCTGGATTTCCTGAATCTTATTATAATTCTAATCATTAGCTTAATTTTCCAAAGAGTGGGCCACGATATTTGTTATTTTTGAAATAGCAGCAATCTCCAAAATACTTTTAAAATTAAGAGTAATACCTTAGAAATATACCATTTTAAACTGTTAGGTAATTAAAACTAAATTTGTATAAATGTTTGGAATGGGAGGTTTCAATAGTCTATTTTCTTAAATTAAAATGGATTCATTTGAGATTTAAATGCTATATTTAATTCAACTAGCTTTTTCCCACTTATAAAAACATACAACAATAAGCCTAACTATGATTGATAGTTAAAATTTACTTTTTTATTTAAAAACATTCAGACTATATATGTTCAAAGATTTCTACATGATACTACCACCAAAAATTTAGTCATGTGTTCACAGACAGAAAACACATAAACCACATTTTAATTTATCTAATGCCTTTAAAAGGTATTCCGTGTAATAATCAGTATCACTAAAATCACTCCCCATAAAATATTTGTGTGTGTGTGTGTTAATGATAAAAATCTATAGTGAAATGATGAAATAAAAAAACAAGTGTTCTTGTCAGAAGACAGGAAGAGAGTTTTTTCCCCTCCCTCAAGAAAACAAAGGATTCCTGGAAGCTTTGCCCTGATTTATTTTTCCAATTTTAAATACCTTAAGAGTAGCGGAACTGCTACTGGCATGGTAGTATTTCTAACAGTCAATAAATCTAAAATATTATGTGTGAATATTGGAATGAAGCCATTAAGAAGATTACAGCATGCAACACAGCAGAGGGTCCACAGGAAAAAAGACCTAGTAATTCAGGACAACTGTGACCACTGACCTTTGAACAGCCAAGACCACTGGTCAATCTGACACAATAATAGAGTGCACATGCATAGAAAGTCATCTAGCCTGTAAGTATAATTTAAATGCTTTGGTGGATGATTTTAAAACACCTTCCACCTAAATCTCAGTCAACTTATTAAACAATCAAACAATTACAAATACTAATATTCTTTAGGCTTCAAAAATGCACTATTAATTTAAATTACACACAAAAATTCAGTAAAATCATTTGTGATTTTAACACATCTCATTTAAAACATTTGCCATTTAAAAAATATGTTGTGATACTTCATCATTTTCCTATGGAGCTATAAGAGACAGGTTAAACAATCACCTTAAATATTTTTAGAAAATTACTATAACTTTTAAAATATTCATATTTTCAACAAATGATCCTTGCTCTATCTCAGAAGCATTTTCATTTATGTAGCCTTCAAATTATCTGTAACTCTGTGGCCTTCAGTTTCAAGCTTCTATATAATCAATCCACCACACCTGGCAGTGTTCCTTTTTACCTATTTTAAATATTTCAGTTTTGCTTAGTTATAATGTTGTTTATGAGTAGACTACACGATGACCTATCATCTTTTATATTTAAAACTCATATTTGTACATTTTGTGAATACTACTTATCATCCCCATCTATTTAAATAAGTGTCTTAATTATCAACTAATTCTAGTATTTCTCAATTTTAAAAAAGCAGAGTTCTTCTCAAAGAATCATCTCACTAAAGCTGACAATAAAATTTTTAATATCATATACAGAAAAGCTGAATTTCTTTCTCTCTTTATTTCTCTTTCTTTAATAAACAATCCTTCCTCAATTGAGCATTAACAGTACGAGATATATGCACACAGGAAAACATTCTTAAAAGTTGGAATTCTATTTTTTATAATTATTTCTCCATCCATTGAAGAATACTTTGATGGGATTCTAAATGAATAACTAATCATTTCTAGTAGTTTCTGCAAAAGTTTATAATGAGACAATCTAGTTATAATGAGCTGAAAAGATAATTGTTCACTGGCCTGAGTGTGGATGTGTTCAAACAGCATGAATTTTTACTAGAGTTAAGATAAAAGAGTTCAGAGTAATGTGCCTCAAGGTCAGCAAGCATTTTAGGTTATTTATAGTCATAAATAATCTGATTTGGACTTTGAAATAATATGTTTCCTATCACTAACTATAAGAACAATCAAGGCTCATGTGGCTGTATATTTGGAATTTAGAATTTTTAAATCCTTAATAATGGATTTCAAAGCAATTGTAATTTACACAAAAACGTATTATGATTTTTAATTCCCAAATTTTAATGTCCTTGAAAAGATGCTTTGCTTTTTGAAAAAGGGGAGTTAGTTTAACTTAACACTAAATCACAGGATGTTTTTAACTAGCCCATTAAATAAAATATATACAGAAATAGTACTCGTTTGCATTTTTGCCCTATACTAAGGAATACGAAGGCCAGAAAAATGTACTTTTTGAGACTATTTAACATGAAATACAGAATATGTCCCATTATAAGCTGCAGACACAAACGCACATGCACACAAACCCTCTGCAAGATCAAAGACCAGAAAAGAACTGGCACTTAATTTATCAGCCTTTACAGACAAAAGACAGTTTTCGTCATTTCAAAAGGATCAGATGTCTTTTATGACAAACTGCGTTTGCAGTTTAATTTACAAATAGAATTCTAAGTAAGCAGTCTTTGCTCTGCCAAAGCAAATGACAAACAGTGTAGGTTTTCATTCTTGCAGTCCTCAGCAGGATAGAAAAGATTAAAATAAAACTGAAATAATTTAGAGAAAACAAATAAATGTTTCAGAAAGTTGAGGGAGATCAAAGCCAGAATTTTCTGACCCCAACTGTACAAGCATTTCTTATTATATTGACCAGTGCCATCAGATCATTAATTAAAAGGAAAAGCGCTGGCAGGTGGCAGGGAAGCAAAAGCCGATAATTGGCCCCCTTCTTCTTCTTGCCTTCAAAAACTCTCTCATTCTTTTGCAAGACATGCCACTAGGCAGACAGAAATGCCTACTTTGTAATATAATGATTAAGATGAGATGAAGAGACTTACGTTTAAAGAAACTCTGCCTAATGAATGCATCTAGCTTTTTAATTATGATGGTACTTTTACAATAAGGAATATGATGTCCCATTCTACATCTCCTCAACTGCCAAAAGGTAAAAATGCTAAAAATAGAACTACATCAATTCCTCTCACACCACTTGCACACACCAACCCTTTTATTTAAGATAAAAAGTGAGAAAATAACTCTTAACTCAAGGGTCCAGGAGAAAACATATACATCCCCCACAAAATATCCTTCAGACTTACCACATCACTTGGCAGGTTGTTCAAGTCATTAAATGGTGATTCTAGAGTATTTGTGTCAACATTTAACATAACCACATCTTCCAATGATTTGTTTTTCACTCTCTGTTTAAAAAACACATATATGAAAAAGACAAAATATTTTCTATGCAAACTATATGGTTTTTGGTGTTTTTTTTAAACACCAAAACATTATCTTAATGCAATAGGCTTGAAAATTTCAACAAAAAAATCCTACATTACAAAAGGATATAAACAACTTCATATTCTTAGGAAGGAAATTTGATCATAATCCATTCAAAACATTTGGTAGAAATGCTTAAAATGCAGTATTTGCTCATACAATACTGAATTAATTTAACTACCAAAGAGATAATGCAACAAAAACCTATTATAAAATTGGCACACTTGTATCATAAAAACCTGTAGTCTTTAAAATTCATCAAATGAATATCAACCCAATAATACAGTAATTTGTACCCTGCTCCTCACCTAACTTTAGCATAAATCATACTGTAGTGACAACATAAAATAATAACTATGACCACAGTATTGATCTGCATTTTAAAATGAATAAATATTTTCTCTACATTTCCATACCAGTAGATATACCTTGATGATGAGGACTGAAAGTGGTCTAAGAGAAAGTAACAGAGAGGAGAGTAAGCTGGAACTTATAGTTAGCAATATTCCTTACATCAATTTCATGGTAAACAATGAAATTTAATAGCCTATCAGAATGACCATTTTATTTGTCTTATTTATTTAAAAGCTTTAAAATAGTCAACATACCTCAATATGTTCACAAATTATACTAAATTACAATTTTATCAAAATTTTTGACCTAATAAAGAAAATAGTTATGGTTCTTTTGTCCTATTTAAATTATCATATATACTTTTAAAAAGGCATTGATTTCTATTTGTTTGATTTAAATTATAGCAAATGGTGATAAGTGATAAGTAATGTGTTCATTAAGGAAATAAATCCATGAATTTATAATTCCATAATTTTATAGGTCAACTAGTAATAGATCAATAAATAATATTTTAAAAACTATCATTGCAGAAGAAAGCCACTTTTGAAATTTATTATTTAAATATCTCAAATTTTAAATTGGCTAAGTCAATTATTTTTTTAAACTGATTATGACTGAAATCTCTCTGATCTATTTAAGAATTTCAAATCTCTGCACATTTGGTAGAATGTTAAATCTGCTAGTGAACTAACAGCCTAAAGTAGGGAATTCATGTTTTAAGAGAGGTATAATATCTACGTATGATATGAATTCTTGGGAGATACACTATTTTAAACATCCACCTTGTAAAAACACATTGTATTATAAAATAAGACCTTAAAGATAGTCACTTCTAAGACACAGAGAACCATTTCTGGTGACACTAATGATATTATTTCAAAAAACATTTATAAATACACTCATTTCTTTTTCTTCCTATACACACTAAGAGGTTTAAATACAGAAATATGTGTTTACTTATAAATTAACTATAGTATAAATATAATAATCCATTTAATATTGTAAGCAAATATATATTATATTGGTGTACTTGTAGTAATGGTATTTGGACAAACTATGTTATATAATATACATAATATACATCTTCATTTTTAAGTTAGCTTTATACCAGAAAATATGTAAATAATCTGGGAGCTAGACACATATTTTAAGAAGTAAAATGAGCTTTTAAAAATAGCACAGGATAGATGGGCACAGTGGCGCAAGCCTATATAATCCCAGCAGCTCAGAAGGCTGAGGCAGGAGGATCACAAGTTCAAAGCCAGCCCCAGCACTGGTGAGGCACTAAGTAACTCAGTGAGACCCTGTCTCTAGATAAAATACAAAATAGGGCTGGGGATATGGCTCAGTGTTTGAGTGCCCCTGAGTTCAATACCCAGTATCAAAAAAAAAAAAAAAAAAGCACAGGATAGTGCCAATGTGCCCCAAAATGTTTTGTGATAACACACTAAAGTCTGAATAATTAATATGAAATGTTCACTTTTTTCAAAATTACTTTTAGTTTTATAAAGTCAGATAATAGTGCCCACGGAATTTTTTTTAAAAGAATTAATCAATAAGAATAACAACATGAAGCAGGGTGTGGCAATACAGGCTACTCTCAAAGCTAAGGCAGGAGGATCATGAGTTCCAGGCCAGTCTGGGCAATAGGGTCTGAGAAAGACCCTATTTCAAAAAGAGAAAAAAAATGAATAGAAAAATGTATTCAGTTTTAATTAAGAAACTGAGAGGCCCTAATATTGAAATAATTTTAAGAATGAAAGAAAGAAACGAAGGAAGGAAGGAAAGAAGGAGGGAAGGAAGGAGGCAAACCAGTATTTTTGAAAGAAAATCTGGAATAGCATCAGTATGTTAACTATTTTTTCTCTTCAAATCAAGCTTAAGCAATTTTTTTTTCTAAATAGGTATGTAAAAATCAAATGTTACCTTTTTATCTGTCTCATATTTTTATACCTTATAAAGTTATGATATATAAAAATAAGAGTGAGAAAACATGAGAAAAGAATTCCTTTTTCTTCAAAAATAAGAAAATAATAACTGGACATAGACTAAAAGGCTTATTAAGAAAACAGTAAGGTGTTAAAGTAGGTTAAGTCTTTTTATGCCCTCTATTAAACCCTTCTGCAAATGTGACTACGAATGTACATTATACACATTAATGCAAAGAAATGACACCATGGCAGCAATCATATGACCTTATGAAACTGAACAACATGTCACTTATAGTCCTTTGTAAAATGAACAAAATAAGACAATTCTCATATTTATAGCTTTTACTCATTTACTCTTAATCACTTTTACATGCCTTAGTCTGCTTTGAGATCATCCCTGAAGTTTAGTTTTCAGGAAGAACAAAATATGTTTTTCCTTTATTTTAGAAGCTTTTTTTTATTTTAAAAAGAGACTTTTTGCCATTCTTTACTCAATGATTACATAAAAAATAATTGAAAAAATTCAAATATCATTAATATGATTTAGAATAACTATGGAAGTTTTTATAAACTGATAATATATGTGGAAACTGTCTTGAACAAGAAAGAGGAAAACGACTATTTTGACTCTTCCTTGAAAAATTTTATTGTAATTGCTAAAAAAAAATGCAAAAACTTACTCATCTCAGTCTAACATATAAACTATGTAAGTAGTTACATCCACATTTTAATTATAAATTATTTATTATAAAATAAATAAGAACAAAATAAATTTTAGTTGAAAAGTCCAATAATGAAATAGTAAGAATAAAATTGCAATACATAATATCATTGTGTAATACATTAAGAAGAAAGTTACTAAATAACACCCAACTGTTTTAAAAGAATTCTTGAAGGCCCAAGTATATTCTTTCATTCACTATTAAACCAGATAAACCAAATATAGCTGACTATCAAGACACTGGAATAAACCCAGTGAATAAAAATTATAGAGATTTCATTCAACTAACCTAACTGTGGCTCTAAATATTCTTGTTTAATAACAAAAGCTTATTTAAAGTTAGAATGCACTTGTTTTTGGATGATAATTTCAAAACGTGAAAAATTCTTAAGTTTGCTCCTTAAAAAATATTTTCTTTATATATGGCCAATAAATATATGATAAATGAAACACTTAAAACATGTATAATTTCTATATTAATTTTGGAAAGCCAATTTTAAAAATTGATATAGAATATTTTACAAAAAAATAACCCATCAATAGGTAGTGTCAACAACTTTAAATATTTTGCATCTGTATAAATATACAGAAAAATTATCATCTTACATTCATTAAATACAGAAAGTCACTAATGTGAAAATGCATAATAATATGCACAATAATATAGAAGTCAAATTTGATGATTTCCTTAGGAAAAAAAAAATCTAACCATGTTTAGATACGTTATCAAGTCAAGCTACTGGTCAGGGCTTGGGATGCAGCTCAGTGGTAGAGAACTTGCTTACCATGTGTAAAGCCCTGGGTTCAATCCCTAGCACTTCAAAAACAAAAACAAACAAAAAACTGATCAATAAAATGCTAGTGAGGTGCTGAGGCTGTGGCTCAATAGTAGAGCACTTGTCTGGCATGTGTGAGACACTGAGTTCGATTCTCAGCACCACATACAAATAAATGAATAAAACAAATGTCCATACATCTAAAAAAAATTTTAAAAAATGCTACAAAATATTCCATGATCTAATGCCAGACTGAATACCTAAACTCATCTATTCTACATTTCATATACTTTGTTTTTTCACTGAAAATGCCTGAGCTTATAGGAAAACTTTTATAAAAATGAATAAAATATAAGAAATCATAAAGTTATCCAACCTGAATTTCAATATAAAAAACAATTCAAGCCTATTAAAAATTCATTAAGATTTACTTTCTATTAATGATGAAGCAAATAAAAAATACTGCCTACTATTTTGCAAAAAAAAAAAAAAATGCCCCAAACTAGAGCTTAGGTGTAATTCTATAATCCAGGCCTTTTGCAGGAACATGACTCTCTCATATGATCCTTGAGAATTTTAAAATACATCAAAAGAATCTTCTTTGATCAAAGGGAAGGACTGATGTATATAGTAACAGCAACTAAGAAAACCACATTTAACTCATTATTTTGTTAATTAGAAATTAGGTTAAACTGTTAATCTGTACAATCAGCCAAAAGAGAAAGGTATTCAAAGAAAACTGAAATCACCCATCATAATGTTTCCACTCAACTGAATCAAATTTTCTGCTTTCATACAAAGCTTTGTTTATTTTTTCACAGGCTAATCTTCCAAAAAGTCTACTCTGGAAATATCACTGCTTCAGATTCAAGAACTTTTAAGTTTAAGTAGTTTCACTACAATGATAATTTAAGTAAAAAAAAAAATCATTTTGGAATGATCTAATGACAGCTAAAAAAATTCCCAAATTTTCATCCCCCAACAGGACTAAAAATTAAAATATAAAAAGAAGCTATATTCTAATTTCAAAGTTTGTCATTAGCATATTAAAACCACATAGAAATAAACTGAAAAAAAATTAAGTTTTCAAAATAAAAACATTTCATTTTATGAGCCACAAGTACGTAAATTTTAATTTTCAAAATACAGTTCCGAGAAAAAGATATAAAAGATATCAAGTTACCATCAAGAAAAGTAGTTCATTAAGGATTAAAGTTTTTAGTATTCAAAACTTACCATATGACTTCTATAAAATATAACCTATTTTCGTGGGTTTCATGCCACTAAAAATGCTCATTTAATATACTAATCTAAATGAAATTATTTCAATGCTAACTTTTTTAAATGATCATTTAATTAGCTCCTAAATATAAAGTTAGTCACTGCTTGGTATTATTCATTTGATATTCTTTCAAACAAAACTGTTTTAAGTATTATTTTTAATGAGTAAATTTTATCACTATCTCGTTTCTGAAAGATACTCACCTCTATGAGGCTGGAGTGTATTCCAATCAGGTATGGCATTGGGGCACTAAATTAAAAATATATATAGATAGATAGATTCATATAGTTTCTTAAAACTGAAACAATAATATAAAGTAATTCAAGTGCTTAAAAAATTAAATTTACTAAATTCTCAGTTCCAGAACAGCACATTCTACATTCAAAATTATTCAATATATAAAATTCAAATTTAATCCTAGAGGTCATTAACATTTAAATTAAGGTTGGCTTATATAAAAATCACAAAATCATTTGTAATTAAATTAAGAGTTATAATACCTAAAAAGCATTTTTTTATTTAAGACTCTCAGGGCCTAGGCCATAGTCTGAGTTGAATCTTTTCCATATACCTCACAGCAAATAGATCCTAAATAATCATCAAATTTATTACATTTTTGCACATATTTTATCATTCTTATTTCTGTGATTTTTCTTAATATGTCTTCATTATTTCATACCTACTATGTCTCCAAATATTTAGTCAGTCAGTCAGTCAGTTACATAGTCACAGAGTCATCAAATATTTACTGAGACTTAATGTGTGCCAGGCAGTATTCTGGAAGTAGAGTTGCAAAAAAATAAACAAGTTCCTCCCATAGTGCGCTTTCTCTTCCTTCATGTATATCACCTTTAATTTAAGTTTTATAAATTCAGATTTATTCCACTTTCAGTGTAATGAATAAAATAATTTTAATAAATTAAAAATACTCAAATACAACAAGGATTTTGTATTAATTAATTCAATGCCTGATATTGGAGGTGCCAGGCTCTGAGGTAGGGGCTTGGGAATAATAATAAACAACACGACTGAAATGTGTTTCCTTGTGAATCTTGTACCCTAGCAGAAATGCAACCATTAAAAAACTTTTAATATACAAAATCTATGCTACTAGTAATTTTAGAAATATTTCTTAGGAAATACAAGAAGAAAATTATTCAACTTGACATTTCAAACAAAATTATTATCTAACAGGAAAACATAAGAATGTACAGATGTCTACAAAAGTGATAGAAGATATGTGAACAAATAGCTATATAAAAATAAAACATTTTGGCAATTCTTTTATGGGAATCTTTGTGCTTTATTAATGCAAACCTTTTCTATTAAGGCAAACAGATAATCCTCTTTCTCAAAGGATTTGCATAATTTTCTAACCATCACTGCCATTATTAAAACAGTGCTGTCCAAACTCTGTGCTCACTTTTCTACTGAGAACTAATAATAGATAAAAATAACAGGCACCTTGACAGATTCAGGTATTTCAAAGTAACCTCAGAAAGTTCCAAGTTCATTTAAGGATGGATAAACAGTAACCTATACTTCCAGAATTCACACACACACACACACACACACACACACACACAATGGATGAAGTTCTTTGCTTCTCAGTAGCCTGTACGTTCTAGTTCATTACTTATTATTGTACTACATTCTAATTCCCAGTTGTCTTTGCCTTTTGTAGCTTTGTTCCTTCCTATTCTTTTTTTAATTTTTATGCAACAGACCATCTGGAATTGATCTGATATTCTGGATACTTCATTTGACTGAAAGTTGAGAGCTATTTATAGGTCTCAATATCCTTAAGACCCAACAGATTTTCTTCCATCAAAAGGAAAAAGGAGGAACAAATGTGGACTGTTCCACTTTTACTTAAATACGGGAAGGCCAGTTACTCCCTAGTTCATGTTTTCATCCCTTGGACTCTACAGATAACAAAGTATAGATCAATATTCTGGGCCCCCCAAATCAGGCTTGGGCCACTGTCACTAAATAAGGTAGGCAACTCTCAAGATTTTTAAATATGTTAAGCCCTCCAAACATCCAAAATAGTATAAAATTATTAGTTACCACAAAACCTTCCAATTCACCCCCAGTTAGGATATCCTAACCACAAGATGTATAATACAGAAAGTCTATGGTATCTTAAATTCCAAAACACATTTTAATAGAAGAGTGCTTGCCAAAATATTCAAGGCTTTTAAACATAGTATGTTCCTCTTATACATGTTGAAGGGATACTGGATGGACCACAGTTTTATTAAATGAGAGTTCAAACTGCTAAGTAATCTACTAAAATTCTAGGAAATACATTTTAGACAAATTCTTGTTAAAGATTATGAAGGCTACTTATCTTTTGAGATACAAACAATAAGTTTATATAAATTGTAAAGATAGAATTAAAAATTCAGTAAAAAGCATCTATGCAGAGTAATAAATAATAAAATAATAAAGTAACTCAAAACTTTTTATAATAATAATAAAGTAACTCAAAATTTGTTTATAAGATAGCTAAGTAAGTATTCACAAGTTTTTTCCTCACTAATTTTAAATAAAATCCAAAAATAGAGCTATTTGAGGCACAAGCATTATTAATCTACAACACAGATTTTTTAAAGTAATTATGATATTTTTCAGAAAATGGGATTAATTGAATAGGTGTTTCCTTCCCACCTTTTCATAGTGGATTGTGTACCTCCTAATACAAAATAAGCCAAGTCTCATGGAAAGAAATTTTGCAAACCCTAGCTGAAATTTCCTAATTAAATTAGGGTGTTAATAAGTCAGGAAGAGATCCTTGGCAACACAGATGTTAACATCCATGTGCAAAACTGTCCTAGATCTTTCCATCAGTGAAGTTATTTTGAAAAGACAGAATATAGAAGGCTCTATTATGAATGTTGTTTCTTTTTGGTAGAAACTAACCTTCACTCAAAATATTGCCTTTCTTTTCTTTTTAGGTTTTCTTAACAGACTACCTGTTACTATAACAACTATCTATTGGGGGTAGTATTAAGATTGTAATCTTCCATTAAAAAAAAAACTGTTCCCTTAGAAGCTAAATTGATCATTTCATAGCAGAATCAGATATATGAGCTAAATGAAAAGATTGACTAACCATTCCCTGACCAAACAACAATTTACTTTTACTATTCGTAGATCACAACAACTCTTAAGCATTTATGAACTCAGATAGTTTATCAGTGTCATAAACTTGCCACATTAAAATACTCTTATTTTAGCTGATTAAGGGAAAAATACAGATTGTATAACTTTCTTCTGAGAATCATCCCTAACCTTCCAAGAAGGTGGGCTGTTTCTTCAATTTCCATGCATGGTTCTTTTGTATGTCTCCACAATAGGACTTACAATATCTGAGCTTTATGTGTGTATGTGTGTGCACATATAAGTTTATGTCAGTATATATGTGTGTCTTCCTATCTGTGAAGCTCCAAAGGGCAAAACCTTAATCTTATTCATCACATTACATACACACATCTTGGCAAATAGTTGCTCACTAGATGTTTGATGAACAAATGTATGGATGAATGAACAGACCAACAAAGTAGTTAGGCTTTATCAATAAACCAAGATGCGATATTCACCCATGGTCACAAGATGGCATTATGGTTCTCCACAACCTGTTCTATGCCAGAGCTATCAGATACAAAAACAGAAATACTTTGAGGAGCTAGAATCACTTCAGGATTTGGAAAGCTCTTATCACTCTAAAGAGTTAACAATAATACATCTACTCCTATCAAACCTTCATGGTGTTATTTTGAACTGGAATATTAAAATCATTTATTCAAAGAGATTGAAGGGATAATATGAAATATTTTCCCCTTGTGCAGGTAGATTAATATGATTTTAACTTGAAGGATTCAAAGGGAAGAAAAACCATTTTTCTTAGAAAATTGTTTAGTCCACCAAATTTTCTAATAATGGAAGAGAGCCAGAATCTCAAATGGCTATTTCTAGAAAAAATATCGTAGTTCTCAGTTCCTACAGTAGAAATGAACATATCACTGTGTCTGTAAAGTTCAGAAAGTTTCAGATAAACTCCTTGCTTGGGTATCATTGCTCTGTTATAAAAGCTGTTAGAACCTGTCCTAACAGCTACTTCAGACATTAGAAAGAAAATTCCAGGGTTGAAATATAGAACAAGCTTCTTTCATTATAATGGAAGCAGCAAAAAAAAAAAAGGATTTGATGTCAGGGATGGAAAGTATCAGAAAGGTAGCTTTGGAAAGATTTAATAAAAATTTCCCTGAGTCATTGAACAGTTTCTAAATAACATTAAATGTGTAATTCATTATAGAGAAATGAGTTTAGAGGTGTGTTACCTCTAAGAGGTCAGATTATTTTAATAGAAAAAATTAAGATGACATGAGCATTATAACCCGATAAAATATAATTCTAAACTTCATAATTAGAAGTGTTAGTTCTTGAAACACTCAATTGACCTATATTTTTAAACTGTTCATCAATACAGTATATTTTAATTACAGAACACCGTGTGCAAAGAACTATTACATATGTTGACATGAATGAACTCCAATCTCTGCCTTCAAGGATGGTTAAGATATTGTAGGTGTGCTGGTCAAAAGAAAACTCTAAAATACATGCATAGGAGACTATTTATAGATTTAGCTTTACACTTAAACTTGTGAGTATGATACTTCACAATATAATTAATTGCATTCCTATAATCTGCGAAACATTTCTCCAAGGGCAGAAGAGCAGTGGTAGGTCACTGGTACCTACTTCACAGCATTAACAATACTACTACCATGCTGTGGAAACCAATAGAGCAGTATAATCAAAATATGTGTCCAAGTACATATACTGTTATTACCATCACTTATTATAAGCAGATTAGTCACAAAAAACTTAACTTAAAAACTTTAATGTATGAACTTATATAATTTTAATCCTTAAGTACTTTAATTTGTCCTTCAAGAAATAAAAAGCTAAATAAATGTTATTTTTAAAGGAACTGATTTTTACTAATATTAGTTAGGATTTAAATAAACACATTAAAGCTGAAATGATTTCCTCCTGTGCATGTATGTGTATGATTTAAAGGGGAAAAAATCACATCAAATTTCTTACAAATTAAGGTATGCCTCCAGAAAATGATTATGCAGTAAAGATAACATACCCCAGCCCTAAAGAAGGTCCCAAAGCTGCTTTTTAGTAGTCTGCTCCCTGCTATCCTACTCTAAGTATGTAGACTCTTCTAGGGAGGAGAACAAGGGGGTCATTGGTCATTGTTCTCATAATTTCTAGAGGCCTGAATGAATTCAGACTGGTGAAATCACTGGGAGTTGTTTCTAAGGCAAGCAAACCCTTTATTATTACTCCCAACACTGTTTTTTCTTTTTCTTTTTATAGCAGCTTTAGGCTGAAATTTTGACTTAAACCAATATTATATTTTAATATAATTCTTATATTAAAAGCAACCCTTTTGTCAGTACAAGGTATTCAGTGTGCTACTGGGGAAAGCAGAGGTAAAAGAAAGTGTATCCTGGGGTAAAGGAAACAAAAGTGTGCCCTGACAGAGACAATGTGGTAACTGGCAGACTTTCCAGACAAGTTCTGACACCTGGAACACTGGGTTTTCTAATTAATTCCATACTTCTGTCCAATTTTCCCAGCCACAAACAAAAAGTTTGTTTCTATTTATGCACTGAATTATCTAAATGACTGCAGAATAAATTCACAAAATTTAAAGAGCTTTGTTTGCCAAGGGCAAATTTTCTGTGGAAAGAACTACTCTGGCCTCCATAAAAGTACTCTTTAGTATGTATTACTAACACAAAAGTCAAGTTCCTGTGATTTTTTTTCACATATACAGGAGGTTTACCTAATCTACAAATAAGCGGATCTGTTTTCTAATCATGAAACCTGGATTTAAAACAGTCTGGCAAAAGCCAGCTTACCAGCAGTAGTCCAGCAGGTGTGGAGGAAGCACTGGGATGTATATATGCTGCCAATACATTGGGTAGAGCAGAGCAGCCGATCCATGGAGACAGGCAGTTAACTAAAATTTACAAAAGGACAACAATAATAAGTAGCCGCTGACCCTCCAAACAAAAAGCCATGTCCAAGGTATCAAAGATGAATGATAATCATAGAAAAATTTACACAATGACATAACTCACAATGCCTTTACCAGTTATATAAATAAAGTCTTTTATGTCTCAGGGACTCCTGTAAAAAACATATAAAAAGCAAGAGTAGCTTCATGGGAATCATATGTAGATAGTTATAACTACATAAAAATATACTTTGGGGTTAAAATTTAGAACATAAATAAAGTTAAAACTGAAAAATCAGGTAAGCATCTCAGAATATATTGTAGGAAATTACGATTTGTGCAGCACAGTTTGCACATCACTCAGATTAATACAGCACGATTAAATATGGAAAAGAAGAGAGGCTGAAAGCTCCTGAGGGATATCATTAGGGCAAATTGCCAAAGAATGAAACATGAGCCAGTCAGGAGAGTCTGGAAGCTGCAATAATACCAGGGGACTTGAACGTTCGACAGTTGGAGCTTCAGTAATGTGTGAACTGTGGGTTATGGTATCAAGAGACTCTGTTCACTGACACATAGAATGTCACTATTGACCAGCAAACTGCCCAAGCTTGACAGCTGTACTACAGGAAGCCAAGTATATCATAATTTCATATTTAAACTGTTCATTCTAGATTAACATTTTGTTTCCTAGCTTTATATCACAGCAGCTGCAATTACATTGTTGCTATTTTAAAGGTAATTGCCATTTTAATTGTTTTGTTTTGGCAAGCAGTTAATTAAACATTTTTAATGCTTAACAAAGAGATATCATTTTTTTTCTCCTTTTTACTGACCCTCATAAGAATTCTTTCCATTTGACTTTGTTTCATTTTAATTATGTTTCTATAGAGGTAAAGTACATTTTTACTGTCTAGTAATTAAATCAGCATTCTTCTTTTGTCATTTTAAAGTTTTTCTGTAGCCTATAGTTCAAGGTTACTAATAAAATAATTTTGGTGAAACTGAGAATCAAAATTTTCAAAAAACTATCTGAAAATGGACCACAGACTTTCTATAAACCATTTTCTCTATTTCATTGTTATGCAAAGAAATTAAAACATATACATGAGAATCACAATTACCTTAAAGAATAAATGTAACCAAAGCAATCCCAATCATATTGGAAGCTAATTTGTTTATCTTTAAGTGAAAAATTGAAAAAAACAATTTAAATAATGTCATTCAAACCAAAAACATGAAAAAATTTCACTGAAATGTACTTATCTTTGTCATATGTGTGATATTTTTCCAGATTTTTGGTTAATTTTGTACAACAGATAATGTATCTGATTCCACATCATACTTTCATTAAAGGGTTTTAATGCCTTGAATTTACTATCTTTATTAATTTATGAGTATTCTTTCAATTAATATTATTTTTAAAAAAATGTAATCGGAGCATATCAGATTCCACTAGGAGGCATTCAAATACTTCTATTTAACAATTATAGATCATGGATTTATTTATGTTACAAAATTGAACTAGAAGGAAATGAAAACGGGGTTGCTCTAACTCATTGTGTCAAATTCTCCTAGAGCTTTTAGGTACTTCCTGGTTGTAAATTAGGCATCTTTAAAGCTGTCCTAACTCTCTCCATCCCTTTGGCATAACCTGATGGGTCAGGAAAGTTTAGGTAGCTTTGAAAGTCAGCTAATTACTTAATTTCTCCATCTGCACACAGATGACTTTCAAAACAGCTCATTTTAAATCTTTAAAAAGGGAGGGGTACTATTCCTTTTTATTTTGAGAAAATAGTAATAGTGAAGCAGGAGGAAAAACAAATTCTCAAAATGATCTATAATGAGGCTGACTTATTTCACTGGCCACACCCGAAGTTCAGAATACCCTTCTAAATGCTACACAGAATACTTCCTCTATCCGTCAATGGTCACCCTTAAATGAAGTTATTCATTATTCACTAACAAGGCACAATTGTATCTGACTGGATTTTTTTAAGAGGATAGTTTCAGTGATCATAAGCAGAGTCAAAAAATTTCTGTCATGTCCAACATCTTGCAGGGGGTCATCCCTGATAATCAAGATCTATCAGGAGAGATCAGGAGAGAATAAAGCTTCACAGGACTTGACAACTTTCTAGATGTGGAAAATAAATGGCAAGGAGAGGTAGGAATATACAACAACCTCTCCCCAGCCCCAGTGTTTAGCCTAAGCAATGAGAATGAATTATTAAGACTAATATAACAAAAATGCCAGGCTTAGGATGAATCATAAAGAACTTGAGTATGCAAGTTCTGTTTACCAGGAGACATCCAAGTGGATATTTACAAAGTAGAAGCATATCAAAGGATTGGGATGTGGCTCACTGGTAGAGCAGTTGCCTCACCTGTGTAAGGCCCTAGGTTCACCCCCAACACCGGCCAAAAAGGAAAAAAAATATCCCCAATCCCCTATATGCCTCCAGTTGCATGCAAGAACAACATCATTTTAACAATTACTTTGTAGAAAGCATAACAAAGTTGTAAGTAAATTATAAGAAAGTAAGAATAAATTTACTAGGAAATCAAACACATTCATATATGTTATATAAAATTATAATCGAGTATACGAGCCAGGCTTGGTGGCACATGCCTGTAATCCCAGCAGTTTGGGAGGCTGAGACAAGAGGATCAACTTCAAGTTCAAAGCCAGCCTTAGCAACTTAGCAAGGAACTCATTGAGACTCTACCTCTAAAAAATATATAAAAAAGGATTGGAAATGTGGCTCAGTGGTTAAATGTGCTATGGGTTCAATTCCTGGTACAAAAAAAAAGTATATGACAGAAGAAAAATTAGGGTTCTGACATTAATAAGCTGTGTGGCCTCTGGCACATCTAACATAATAAGTTGTGAATTTCTTAATCTTTAAAATAAGAATTTATGCTAGATGATATGCAAGCATTGCCTTTCACAAGTCAAACATTCTTTAAATAAGATAAATTCAATTCTTACTTTTTTAGATACTTAGTAATACATATTTTCCCATTAAGTGGTTAACAGCCTATTTTAACTATAATTCAGATCTACCTTTAAAATACATCTAAAGATTACATCTCAGTGTTTGACAGTGCATTAGGTTAACTATGCACTTGGAAATATATTAATTCATTTGCTCAGTTCAACAAAAATTTTAAGGGCCTGCTTTGTGTTTTCATAAATTTCTTCCTAGGTAAAAGGAACACAATATTGAACAAAACAAAGTCCCTGTTTGTATGTGTTATGAAGAAGACAAATAATAAACAAGCAAAACATACATTGTAGGTTGAGCATACCTATTCCAAAAATCCAAAATCTGTAATTCCCCCACATCCAAAAAGTTTTGAATGTTAACATGACACCACAAATGGAAAATCCCTTAACTGAGCTCATGTGATGGACTCATATAGATGCACTAAAATATTGCATAAAACAACCTCCAGGCTATGTAAAAAGGGTATAGATGAAATATGAATGAACTTTGTATTTAGACATATGACTAAAGGTTTAAGGGGAAAAATCTTAGCTTGAAGTAGCATACGAATATTTTAAAACACATTAACTTTCATAAAGTATACTTGAAATATTGAACTGATATTGTCCCAAAGGAATGATTAATGGAAAATGAAAACATTGAGATCGAAATTTCTTATAGATTCCAATTATAAAATAAGTATATATGAGAACCATGTGATAACAAGACATATTCCATGCTTTCATAATTATCAAATAGATTTTACCATCATGTATAACTAAAAAGAACCAATGGGAAAAAAAAGATTCAAAACCTGGGGCCTATAAAATCTTCAGATTAAGAAACTTTGAAAACTAAGGTCAGCAATAGTGAATTTAGTTACAGAATAAAATGCACTTACAAATTTCAATCCTAGGCCACTTGGTTTAATAGCAGACTGACATTCATAATGACTGAAAATATTAATAATAATTTCAAATATTTATATATTATTTGCCATATGCCAGGCCATATTTTGACTATTTGAAGTATACAGATCTAATCCTCACAAAAATCTAATGAAAGAAGTACAACTATCTTTAATCCCATCTTACAGATCAGGACATGGAAGCAAAGTTAAAACAACTGCCTGAGATCATATATCCTATAAGGAGTAAAGTACAATTAAGTTTGAAACCAAAGTTCTCCTCTTTTGTAATATTCTGTTGTGATCTGTTCCTTTTTCTTGAAGTTAAACTCCACATATTAGAGTCAATTAGCCTAATAACAAAAAACTAAGCAGTGTTTTAAACATTAAGTAGGCATGTGCTTTGTGGAGGCAAAAAACACATCCATCAGATTCCCAGGGAGACAGCAGAAAAATGACTCATCAAATGTAATGACCACAATGGAAAATATAAAAATTCCTAACTGACACACTTTAGAGGGAAAAATTTCATATTGACACATTGCCAGTCCCATTATTCTGGTCTCTGTATCACCTGGCCAGATTGTACCTTATTCTTATTCTTGTATTCTTATTCTTAGGTAGAAATCCTACTCATTGCAACTAGAATTCTATGTGAGTTACTGAGAGGCAGATTTATATTGCCCCAAAATGTATTTATGCATAAAAGAAGAAATACGTATGTTAGAGATGTCATCTGACTTTTAACTGAAGCAATAGTTCATTCATAACTTTAAGCACTATAAATAACTACAAGTATACAGATTAAACTGCTAGAGATAGTAATGTGATAAATTCCGCCTGGAATGAAAAGAAAAATACTAGAAACTATAAAGAAGGCATCTGTTGAAACACATTTATTTTATATTCACATTTTAAAGTTTAGGCCAAAAAAAAAAGTGTCAGTTCGATATCTGAAAACTACAATGTTATCCCAATTATAAAGTATTCTCACTTGAACAAAACTTTAATATTCAAATTAAGTGATAGTTATATTAAAGAAACAGCAACTTTAACAGTGAAAAAAAGTCAGTATTTGGTTGTGAATTTTTTAAATTTTATTTTAG